GCGGGCAGCGGGCGGCGGGCAGCGGGCGGGCGGCAGGAAGTCACCTGGTAGGAGCCGTAGGTGTTGGTGACCCGGGGAAACGCCTGCAGGGACGGAGCCACGGGATTGGACAGGACAAACGGGCCGGACGCCGGACCGTCCTCCTGGGTCTGATGGACAGAGACAAAATGCTGAGGATGGTGCCGCCTGGTTCTGACTTGGTTCTGACCCAGTTCTGACCCAGTTCTGACGCTCTCACCATGTCTGACTCCAGGCAGGAGACGAGCTGCCGGACGCACGGCTCCAGGCAGTTCTGGTTCCGCTTCACCTTCTGCAGAGACGTGTCCATCAGGACCTGGACACAGACAGCTGGACTCAGGTTCTGGTCCACACCGGGCCCTGTCCGGGTCCAGTCTGGTTCTGGGCCCCCCAAGATCTGCTGAAGGCATCGGTGAGGTTCTGCGGTGGGTCAGGTAAGTGGACCGGACCAGACTGAACGGACCCTCATCACTCAGGAGTTCAGGCTTCTGTTTGTTCTGACAGAACGGTTCTGGTCCTGGTGCATCAGGACCAGCTGATCCCTTTGGGCCAGCCGGTTCTGGTCCTGTGCCATCACTGACCTTCTGGATCTTGGTCTTCATGGCGGAGGGGATGGTCGTCGGGGCGACGAACTGGAAGGAGGGCGCGGCGTTGTTGGGGTACTGGACCGGAAAGTTGACCACCAGGTGGACCCGCTGGCCGCCGAAGTGGGCCGACACCACGCAGCTCCGGTTCCGGGCGTCCATCTGGGGATAGACGCACAACCGGGTCAGACAGCTGGCGGAACTGGGCTGAGGATGAAGCCTCACCTCTACGTTGACATTCCGGATCTGCAGGTTGACCAGGGAGAACTCCTGCTGCAGAGTCTGGGCCAGACCAGAACCGGCGGTCGGATCCGGACGGCTCACCGACTGACCTAGGAGGAGAGGTCAGAGGTCAGGCTGGACCAAACCTTGATGTTCAACCTTTGACCTTCGGCCTTTGGGTGACAATCTGCCCTGAGACGGAAACATTCAGCTTTCAGCTCCGCCACAGCAGAGACCCGGGTCGGCCCAGATTGTCTTTCCTATGCCAGCCGGGTCGGCCACATGACGGAGGAGCACTTATCTGGACCTCAGGACGGTTCCCTCCTGATGGTCGGGTCGACCCGGTTCTACTGGAACCAGAACATTTAACATTTTCGGCTGGTGTGGGTCTCAAATGCTTCGAGGACCTGTTCTGCTTCTGGTCCAGTTGATGGTTTGTTGGACCAGAACCGGACCCAGACCTGGAGCTCTGGGTTCTGCTCCAGGTCTGGACTGTCCCAGAGGAATGGTCCAAGGTCACGTCAGCCGAAGGTTCTGGAACAGTCAAATTCTGTTCATACCCTGCGGGCCGTCCGAAGCTGGATCCCCGCCCTGCTGTGTGCCCAGGGACTTCTCCGTCTCCACGGCGATGGACACGTCATCCATCAGCTCGTCCACCAGGTCGCTGACGCACAGCTGCAGCGGGAGACACGGAGCAGCCAATCAGAGCGCGGTGACGCCTCGTCCAGCTCTGATTGGCCGCCAACCGACCTTCTGCAGCTGAGGTTCCACCCTCCAGATCCGTAGCGTCTGATCTCGGGACCAGGTCACCAGCTGGAAGTCCCTGGACCCTGGGGGACAGGAGACACTCAGACTGTTTGCCCCAGGCTGTCTGAGGGGGCGGCAGACTGGGGGACGCTCACCTTCCTTCTGGGGACGCCACTGGAACTCCAGGACGACGTCATCATGTCCAACAAAGGCGTGGACGGGACTGTTGAGGTCCAGAATGCTCCACAGCAGGAGACTATTCTCCCGCCGCAGCTGAGGGACCATGACGGTGACGAGACCGCTGGAGAACGGCTGGGGACAGACGGGGACAGGGTGAAACAGAGGGACGTGGGCACAGACCGGGACATAGACAAGTGTGTCTCACCGTGTAACGGGCCTTCCACACCGGCACCTGGCAGGACAGGACGCTCAGGTACTTCCTGGGCTGCCGGTAGTCCCAGAACTGGGGACAGAAGAGAAAGGGCGTCTCATCAGGACGCCGTCCTGATGAGGCGTCCTGATGAGACGTTTAGGACAGCGTGTCCTCACCCTGACGGAGTTGTCTTGGCTGGACGTGGCGAAGACGAACTCGTTGTCTCGGTGCCAGTCCAGGCCGTGGATCTTGGACAGGTGAGCGGCCAGGTACTCCACCGCCGTGTTGGGTTTCTGTGGAGACAGGAGGACAGGTCAGAGTTCGTCCAGCTGCCAGACCCATCCCAGAACCCGCCGGACATCTCACCCTCTTGTCCCAGATGCGGACATCTCCGTCATGGCTGGACGCCAGCAGGTGTGGGTTCCTCCGGTTCCACTTCACCTGGGCGGCTCCGGCTGGAGGGACGGTGGGACAGGCACAGCGGTCAGCGGTGTGTTCAGGGAACTTGGGACCGTTTTAGGCTGAGGACTCACCAACAGCAGACAGTGCCACTGTGGGTTTCCGAGTGTCCCTGTGGAGACGGACAGAGAGACATGAGGACAACAGGTCCAGTGTCTTCTGAGACCGGTTCCGGTCCGTTCCCGGGTTTTCATTCTACCTGGTGTCCCAGATGTAGATGTAGGTGTCCACTGAGCTGGACACCAGCAGCTCCGGGTCGAACCAGGACCAGTCCAGGTCGCTGCCGGGACAGACACAGTGAGTCTCACCTGTCTCCACCTGTGGACAGGTGTGGTTGCTTTGTGTCTGTCACCTGATGACCCGGGTGTGTCCCTGCAGGGACGTGTGAGTCTCTCCACAGCCATCCCTCCAGGAGTACAGGTCCACTCGCTGGTTGCTCTGGAAACATAGGAGGAACATTCAGGACCTGGACCCCAACGTCCAGGTCTAACATGGCGGTGGCAGCATCATGCCTGGATGCGACTTCATGAAATGGTCGGAACCATAAACAGCCGGGGATTCATTCATCAATCAATCATCCAGTAATGGTTCAGAGCCTCCAATAAAAACCTGTTTGGACCGGACCGGATCGCAGCAGAACTCACCGAGGCGGCGAAGATGTGAGCCTGGGACCGGTGCGGGTTCCACTGGACCGTCCCCACGTCCCACTTACTGTGGCGACCCATCTTACGGGACGGCTCAGACGGAGCGTCCAGGTTCACCAGGTAGAGGGAGCGCCGGCTGGACGGGGAGAGAGAGACGGACAGGGGACAGCAGCTGGTGATGTCAGACATTGAACATGATCTTATAACAGAGACAAAGATCATGTCCCTGGTTCCAGCTGGTTCCGTTGGTTCCAATGGTTCCGCTGGTTCTGTGGTTCCATTGGTTCTACTGGTTCTGCCTCTCAAACAGGATCCAATAGCCTGGTTCAAAACTGATTCAGAACCATTTTGACTGGTTCTGATGTTAGAGCTGTAGGAGCCATCTGGGCCGGACCACAACCCACACTCCTGTCCTGCCATGAACACCTCCAGAACCAGAACTGGACCAGAGCTTTGATTTACTGCATAGCCAATTATTGATCAGGTAAATTAATTCTACAGATTTTTCATCTGACCGTTTAGTCTCTTTCTATACAAAATTAAAAATTTGTTGAAATGCAAACAAAAAAATAATTTAAGGAAGGAATCAGAACCTGATCTACAGGAATGGACCGGCAACCGGAGCTTACCCAGACAGCACGGCGTGGGAGCCCAGGCAGTCCACGGACATGGCGGTGGCCTGGAACACAGCACAGACCACAGGTCAAAGTAGGGCTGGGTGATGTATCGCGATATTTTCTATTTACGGTAGTTAAAATGGCTATATCACAACTATATAACTATATAACTGAACTTGCCATTCAAATAAACTTTCGCCGTCAAATTCACTGCGAGTATGGTTTGTCCGACACCCTATGAATGCATCACTAGTCCCTCCCCACTCCCAACCTGAAAATGTTCTACCAATCACGCTGGGCGGAGAAAACAGAGAAACAGCAGGCGCAAATCGTGACATCGCACCTACCATGACACTTCCGGTGGCAGGCGTCACGGCCATAGACATAATATAAGAGTAGACCCCGCATTGGCCGCTCAGGCGCAGGAAANACTGTATTTATGTCCACCGGCGAGATACCAGCTAATATTAGCTACAGTGCTTGGTGTAATATCGGTCTTGTGCGAAATTCTGTCCCCCTGTGAAATTCTGCCCCCTGTGTCGGGAGCGCGCATTGCAGCCAGAGTGGTGGATTCGGCGGATCTGACCATTTTCACGGCGCTTCTGATCGATTTCTCGGTAAAAACTACTCATATGATCATGTCAATGTGTAACTTTCAGTTTAATCGGCAGCTATCAAAATAAAATAAATACATAGATGCAGTCTTGTGTGGAGGTCTTTTTACGCTGTTTTGTGTTATTTTAAACGCGAAGAGAATCGATCTTTTTTTCAGCTTTTGTCTCTTAAGCCTCACAAATAAAAGTCAGTCAACAAACACAGGTTCCCAACACGTAGTGTGCATTTATAATTTTTCATTTCTGATTCAAGAGGATGGAAGTTGGCTGATAGCAGGGCACCAAAATAAAGACTTCTTGAAAAGATCAGAGTGTAGCATTTTTGGTAAATCTCGTTCTAATGTAAAATATGACAGATTACTGGATTACGGAAATGTCTAGTATGCTATCACACATAATAATTTTTGAGAATTTGGAAACAGTTGCTTTTAATTTCCCAAAATTATGGATATTCCAGCCACCTGAAATAATCTGTTCTCCCTCCATTTCAAAGGAACAAATTAATTTACCTGCAAGTCTTTTACTGAGTTCATTCCTCTCTTCATCAACAATAAATCCTGTGATTTTGATAACATTTGCTCTTTATTTGCCAAAGTTAGGAGGGGGAAAGTTATGATGGCTCCCCCATCATAACTTTGGCAACTAAGAATCAAATGTAACCAAAATCACAGGATTTGTTGCTGATGAAGAGAGGAATAAGCACAGTTAAATACTTGTCAGTCATTTAAATTGTACCTATGAAATGGAAGGGGAACGGATCATTTCAGGTGGCTAAAATATTTGGTTCCCCTCCTTTAACTTTGGCAAACAGTTATTGTGGAGGTTCCTCCACCTTTTCCTCAGTGTTAGTATTTATTTAAATGTTTTTTGTATAATATATTTAGATTTTCACTTTTTCTTGGTGGTGGTTATTGCATTGGTTGTTTACTAATTTGGGTGCACACATTTAGTAAACGCCTTATGTTTTTTTAAGATCATTAACTATTTTATTTGCTGAGTTTAAGGACTGGCTGAAAGGAAAACCAGGAAGTGGAACAGTCCATCAGGCTGCTGGAAGCAGGGGACTTGATGTGGAAAAATCTGCCTCTCTCCACTAATGGCATAATTGCTAAAACCTTTTTGGTGTTAGGTTATTTGGTTTTTATAGTGGTGTTTAAGTCAAAATGTTTTAGTTTAAATTA